AAAACTCAAAAAAAAACTAACTTGAGTAATAATCGTTAACCTCAATCCTTAAGTTTATCGCTATTCATTTTTAGCTTTTCTTAAAATATATTTTAAATAATTATATGAAATAATTAAAAATACATTTAGACATTACAATAGAAAAATTTATGAAAAAAATAATGTCCTTCTTTAAGAGATGTAACACAATTTTTTTTCCTTATAAAAATCAACAGTTCGAATTTTTTTTAGGTGGTTACAAAAATGTACAATTCATCAAAACTTTTGTACATCATGTACTTTATAAAATAAACGACGACCACAATGATACTATGCCATCATATGGTTGCAAATAGTTTCTCTTTTCTTGAGATGATATGTCATAATTTATGTTAAATACAGCAGATATAGTGTATCTGTAATTGTTTAATAAATTTTCAATACACATAAAGAATAATATTTGTTCTCAATGTACTGGTAGACTAAGGGTAAGTGAGTCAGACTACGCTGCTAGAGATCATACGTTCAAATCTTACCGTGATGTTTTCTATCGTTTTTTTTTTGTTTCCACTAATTATCGCAAAAAAAAATTTGATCTTGATAGAAAAATTTATGAAAAAAATAATGTCCTTCTTTAAGAGATGTAACACAATTTTTTTCCTTATAAAAATCAACAGTTCGAATTTTTTTTATGGTGTTATAAAAATGTACAATTCATCAAAACTTTTGTACATCATTTACTTTATAAAATAAACGACGACCACAATGATACTATGCCATCATATTGTTGCAAATGGTTCCTTTCTATGGAAAAAAAATTTCATAATTTATTCATTATACAAAAAAATTAGGACGTAAATGTATGATTAATGTTGATCCAAAATGTTACGAATCATTTATAGTTGACGCAGCATAGAGAATCTCTGTAGATTCTCGAGATTTCTCATGCTTTTATATTACATTTTACTGTGTTGAATAACTTTATAAAGCAAGAATGCTATTGTTTATGAAGGGAAAAAAATTAGAATAGAAAATGAATCATCAATGTTGGTCAAAAAAGTTACAAATCAATTATAGTTTTTTTGACGCAACATAGAGAATCTCTGTAGATTCTCGAGATTTCTTATGCTTTTATATAACATTTTACTGTGTTGAATAACTTCATAAAGCAAGAATGCTGGTAGACTAGGGGTAAGTGAGTCAGACTACGACGCTAGAGATCATACGTCCAAATCTCCGCGGGATGTTTTCTACTTATTCATTTATTTTTTCTGCATTAAGACATCAAATTAATTTTTCTTGATGCACAGATCGTTTGAAACGGTGTTATCATTTTCTATAAAAAATGCAATAATTTTTTTAAACGATTTCAAACAGTTTTAAAGATTTTCCTGCGTTGTCTCATAAGTGTATCGTCCTTATCTTTATATATATTCATTGACGTTTGCACAATCCTTATAGTTTCGACGATTTCTGAACAGTCATAGACTCAGAATTTCTATGTATATTTTACATTCCGTTGTCGAATAACATTATAAATAATTTGTTATCGTCTGACTTGTTCAAAAAATTTTCCAACTAATTTTTGAAAGTTTTATTGATCACTAGCGACGTCTAATGGAGAGCTAATATAACTAATTAAAAAAGAAGAATAAATGACTAGCACCATCTGCTGCTCTTCGACTGTATTACCTGCGATGGTTGTAATGCATGTTGTGTGTTCGTCAACTGTTTTTGAAACTCATAACGATTGTGTTTAAAAAAAACTGCTAGCGTTTGCTGTTAAATTTGTTGATGTAATTCAGTACCTATAAATTTTTCTTTGTCACAAGTCTTTTTGTAGATTTTAAAAAAAATTTTATTTTGGTATTTATCAATTCTTTCTACATTATGTTCATTTATCTTGATAGTATTTCAATTCACAACAAAGAAACATCGAATACTCTCATTCATAAAATGATTAGCTTATTTTCGTGTATTTATATGGTTCTTTCGTTTATTCAAAACATTCATCCATTTTTGTAATAAATCAGAGATTTTCTATTTTATGCGATTAAAATCAATTGTTTATGATCCATTAACCTCAACAATTGTTTAATGGAAAACGTAATATTGAAATAAAAAGATTCAACAGTCAATGAACTGTAGAAGTAGAAGTTTAATTAGTCTCAAATGCCTCGAAGAAAAACAAGAATGTCCCATGTGACTATAAAAATGAATAAAATTCCTTGTGTTAGGCTTGTCAGAATAAATATTCCAGAGTCTGTAAATCCTGAATGTAACACAAATAATTTTTACAAATGTAATGAAGTAGAAAAAAGTGAAGAAGCTGAAAATTGTGTCATTGTTACAAAAAAAGGTAAGTCTTATTTAAATATATAGATTTTTTTCCTTTTTTATAAACACTTTATGTTCAATCGATGTTAAGCATAGATTTCAAAATTTATGTTTTATATACTATTTCCTTTTTTAGACTTAAATTCTGTGACTGATAGTCAAGATTCTGATTATGAAAATAACTGGTGCAAACTCAGACAATCGATCATGTCGAGCGCCATCGACAGCATTGAGCTATGGCATATATTTAAAAAAAATTGCAAGATGTTACAGACGACAATGTTTAGAGAATGGTCAATATGATCGATTAGACAATATTAAATATTTTCTAGAGTTACATGAAGATAAATATCCCATCGCTATAAACAAATTAGCTCATGAAATTCAAACGGTTAACAAGAGACATAAGAAAATAGTTCTTCCTCTCACTAGTGATATAAAAATTTTCTGGTCATATGTGCGGAAACAATATGATAAAGCTCTGACTAATTTGAATACTAAATATTCTTATAGTGATTATGATAATTTGAATAAATCTACTCTTTTATTAGTATTAATTTTTAATCGTAAACGACCTGGAGAGCTTGAAAGAGTAACTATCGATGACTATGAACGTGCTGTGACGTTTTCAGAATCCAATAAAGAGGGATATGAAAAGCTGTCTGAAGGAAACAAAAAATTGGTTGATGAATACATTAGATTTGAGTTAGGAGGAAAAAAAGATCGAAATGTACCTGTTATAATTTCTCGAGAAATGAAAACAGGTATCGATACATTATTAAAGTATAGAAGCTACACTGGGATATGCCTTGATAACCCGATGATTTTTGCTTTGCCAGGAGAGGAAAATGCTGGTCGTTATAAACATTTAAAAATTTGTACCTTAATGCGAGAATTTTCTGCGAAATCGGGTGTATCTAATCCAAAGACCTTACGAACCACTCCCTTGCGAAAACATGTTGCAACAACTGTCGCATCATTGAAAATCGCTGAAAGTCGAGTTTTCGATATTTCGAACTTCATGGGTCATGCTGAAGCAATACACAGACAACATTATCGACAAGCTGTCATAAGTCGTGATTTATGTGAAGTATCACAGATCCTTGAAGTTGCTGTGGGTATGAGACAGGATTCTCAGAGAACAACAAATAATACAGATGAAATTGCAATCTGTAATGACGATGCAAATCAGTCTAGGTTCATTAATGAGCTTGAACCTGTTATTGAAACTACTGAATCTGATGAAGATATGAGATCTGATTCGGATGATTCCGAAGACAGCATTATTGAATCTGCAAAGAGATCTGCTAAGAAACGCAAAATTTCTAGAAAAGGTATATTTTATTCACAGTAACACATTTTTTTTTATTATCATAAGAAACTTGTATAATTGAAAATATTTAATCTACTTTTTTTATTTGTAGAAACTAAAACAACTAAAAAAATAAGATGGACTGAATATGAGATAAATACGGCTACTACAGTATTCGAAAATAACTTAATAAATATGAAACTGCCATCTTCTTCAGAAATACGAGAATTTTTGAAAAAACATCCGCAAATAACAAGAACTGAAGCTCAAATTCGTACATGGATACATAATCAATATAAATCTAGACAGCAAAGATCGCGGTATTAACAGTGACAGTATAAATATATCAGAAATATTTTTATTTTTATTATCATATGTATTAAGCATCAATTTATTTTAGTTTATGTAATTTTTCTATTTGTATATCATAATTTTGCTGAGATAAAGTAAAAATTTTAAATTTACTTATAAAAAAATTAGTTACTGTGTTCTTTTTGGAAAAAGTTAGCTCAAAGTTATGGATCTACTTATTTAATTGTTATAATTATGATGTAAATGCAAATCATAAATTCTTTATTTTCAATTTTCTAAGGACTGAAGATATTCAGCTGCATTAGAAGCAATAAAGAAGACCAATGTTAACTGATGATGTATTTTTCAGCATAAGGAGATTGATATATATTTTTTTAGTACATTGCAAGTATTTTTTACGTCGTAAACAGATTATTAAAATAAAAGAATTTTTTATTAACAATTTCATATGGTAATAAGTAGTTTTCAGAAAACATGTGCATATATCGTATGTTTAAAAAACTAGAGTTTTATCGTAACTCGTTATTATGTTTATGAAACAATTAAAATGTTATGATATTTGTTTTGATTATAAGTTTTTAAAAATAACGAAACATAAAAGAGCATCAGTATTGCAATTACATTTTTGCGTTCAATGATTGTTAAAAAAGTTATATAAAGATTTTTATTTTTAATTCGACGTTATTAAAATTGATCATACTCAGCTAAAAAGCTGTTCAGTAAAATTTACGATAAAGTAATAATTTCTGTGAGTTGTAATACTAAAAAGTCATTATGTTTCAAAATTAAGCAATGACATAAAAAATTCAACTGGTTATTATAAGTTTACTGTTATTTGTGTTTCATTATTACTATCATTCTTGCAGAAAAAAAAAATAAATAAAAATATAAATAAGAAACATCGAGTCGATCATTTTATCCACAGAAAGGATTACTTTCTTTTACTTTAAAAACCCTTACAAATGATAAATATCAGGATAACTGAAATAGATTACGCATGTAAATTAAGGTACATTTATACAAAATAGTTTTAGATAACAAAAATTTTTTAAAGATTATATACTGGACTTTAGTTTTCTTTTGTTTGAGTGGGCATATTTTTAGTAATATTGATGTGTTCATGAGAAAGTTTTATGAATAATAAAATAATTATTATTCTGATCTTTGAAAAGTATTATTTATGATAATATTATAAATAAATTGTAAAATCAGAGTATTGCAGCATTCGCGTGAACAACATGTACATATAATAAAATTGAAGATTTTTTTTTGGTAAGAAAAGTCCAAAGAACAATTACAAATGATACATAGTGCAGCGACAACAATTGTAACAGAAAAGCAGAAATTATTCAGATTGGACCATTCAAAATAACATTGTACTGGCACAAACTAATTCTTTCTATATTGACAAAGACTACAAAAAAAAATTAGAATACTATTGAAGGCTGAAGTTATTAGTAATATATTCTCACTTTAGATCGTGGATATACATTAATTGGAAGACTTCTTAAAAATGATACACCAGACGATTGATAAAGATTTTTAGGAGTTGCAGGTATTATAAATTTTTTTAAAAAGAACATTGATAAAGTGTGACTATAAGTTACGTTTGATTCAGAAAATTTACTGATAATTCATTAATGCATAACAAAAAGCAAAATATTCGATCTCAAACGTATTAATCAATGAATTATTATGGATACATAAAGGATAGGAATTCATATCAAAGTACAGGTAGACATGAGGAAAGCGAGTCAAGACTTTAAAGCAAAAGACCGTACGTTCAAATCTCGCTGTGCTGTGTTCTACTTATTTTTTTTTTTTTTTTTACTAATAAAGGCAAGAAATGATTTGATCTTAATACACAGATCACTTAAAAAATGTCTATCTTCTCTAAGAGACGTAGAATAAATTTTATTCAACAAAGTTTACCAGCTCAAATGATTTTTTGTAGTGTCACATAAATGTACAATTTATCAGAAGTTTTTAATATCATTTACTTTGTGAAAGAAACGATAAAAACACAGATACCACGCTGTCATATTATTGCAAATAGTTTTTTTTATTAAAATAATAACTCATAACTAATTCATGCTTAATACAAACAAAAATTTGAATGTAAAATAAATGATCGATGTTGGTCAAAAATGTTTCAAATCGATGATAGTGTTTTTGACGCAACATAGAGAATCTCTGTAGGTTTTTGAGATTTGCTCATGCTTCTATATAGCATTTGACTGTATCAAATCTGTTTACCGAGGAAGAATTCATCATTTGTGCATTTATAATTCTGCGGGTACATATAAAACACAAAACACTTTTTTTTCTTAAAAAAGTTTGACAGTTTAAATTCTGTATGTCATTAATAAATTATAAATATACATAAGAGACAAAATTGAAAATCATAGGACTGGTAGACTAGGGGTAAGTGAGTCAGACTACAACGCTAGAGATCATACGTTCAAATCTTACCGTGATGTTTTCTACCGTTTTTTTTTTTGTTTTCACTAATTATCGCTAAAAATAATTTGATCTTGATAGAAAAATTTATGAAAAAAATAATGTTCTTCTTTAAGAGACGTAACATAATTTTTTTCCCTTATAAAAATCAACAGTTCGAATTTTTTTATGGTGTTATAAAAATGTACAATTCATCAAAACTTTTGTACATCATTTACTTTATAAAATAAACGACGACCACAATGATACTATGCCATCATATTGTTGCGAATGGTTTCTTTCTATGAGAAAAAAAATTTCATAATTTATTCATTATACAAAAAAATTAGGACGTAAATTGTATGATTAATGTTGATCCAAAATGTTACAAAACGATTATAGTTTATTTAAGGCAACATAGAAAATTTCTGTAGATGATTGATATTTCGGATGCTTTCATATAACATTTAACTATGTTGAATTACTGTATAAAGCAAGAATTTTATTATTTATGCAGAGAAAAAAATTGGGATAAAAAATGTATGATCAATGTTGGTCAAAAATGTTACAATTCGATTATAGTTTTATTTGATGCAAAATAGGAAATCTCTATAGATATTCGTAATTCTTTATGTTTTTATATAACATTGAACTGTATTGAATCCGTTCGAAGAGCAGAAATTTACTATATGTGATATAATATTGCGGTTACATATAAAACGTAAAAAATTTTTTTTCCAAGATTCAATAGTTGGGGTGATTCGTCGAGGTGTCACATAAGGTACAATCCTCCAGAACTTCTATATATTATGTACTTTATGAAATAAACAATCACAACACAAATACTCCAATATCATATGATTGCGTATGTTATTTTCTATTGAAAATATATTTTCTAATCTTTTTATACTGAAAACAGCAGAAATAATGCATATGTATGTGATCGATAAATGATAAATGCACATGAGAGATAACTTTTAATATCATAGAACTGGTAGACTAGTGTTAAGCAAATCAGACCGCGATGCGAAAGACCGTACGTTCGAATCCCATCGTGCTGTTTTCGTCTTATTTTTTTTTTACTAATCAAGATGAGAAGTGATTCGATATCAATAAGCAGATCACTACAAAAGATGTTACTTTTTTCTAAGAGGCGTGGAACAGTTTTTTTAAATAAAGTTCAATAGTTGGAATGATTTTTTGTGGTGTCACATAAATGTACAATACTCAAAACTTCTATATATCATGTACTTTATGAAATAAAAAATGACATCACAAATCCTTTTCTATCATATCACGGAAAATGGTCTTTTTTATTAAAAAAAATATCCCATTATTCATCGTTGCCTGATATATCAAATAAATTAGGACGTAAACTGTGTTATGAATGTTGTTTGAGAACGTAACAAGTCGATCATAGTCTATTTCATGCACCATAGAGGATCGTGGTAGATACTGGGGATTCCTTATGCCTTATATCATATTTTTCTGTTTTTGTTTAGAAAAATTCAACAGTCTGATTTTTTTTGATGTCACATAAATGTACAATTCTTTTAAACTTTCTAATACCATGTACTTAAAAAAATACACAATAGCAACACGAATACTGAGCTATTATACGATTACAAACTTTTTTTATCTGTTGAATAGATATCTTCTTATATGTAAAGTACAAATGATGCATACGTAATTTATTGATGGATTATGAACCTATGATAGAATAATATTTTATCCTGAAGTATCTTTGGATAACTGATAAATCGTTCAGACTATGGAGCGACAGATTATTGATTTAAATCTTACCATAATGTTTTTCGGTTTTGTCTCAATTTTTCTTCAAATTAAAACGAGAAATAGAATCTTTCGGATAAACAACGAATGTTAACGGAGTCGATCATTTTCTTTGTCATTATATTATAGCCATTTCATTCAATATTAAATCATTTATAGGGATTTTTGTGAAGTTGCCTAAAAGCCTAATTTATAAAAACTTTTAAACATTATGTTAGTTATGAATTCTACATTAACAACTTCGATAATAACCTCTAAGATCATATCCATAGTCGTCTGGTCTTAGAAGTCATTTATCCTGTCTAATGTTTTCGATTTGCTGATAGTCATAATCTCGTTCATTCTTTCAGATATAGTTGAATAACCGATAAATGATTGCGATAGTTAAGGAAAAAGAATAATTGTTTTTTATCCTGCCTATTTCGTCCAACAAATCTTGGAAACTTGCTAAAAAAAAATTTCATTCTTGTCACATAAATGTACAAAGCATAAAAAATAGTTGACGTCTTAATTTGTTCATTTCTGTGACGTTACACAAATGCCCAATTCCTATGTTTTACATTTATGTGACGTCACATAAATGTAGTAAAGTCACATAAATGTATAAAGCATAAAATTTTTTGCAACAGAAATGCACAATTCACGTACATATATATATATATATACATATATTTACAAAAAAGTTAGTTTGACGCTAAGATTTGAGATCGTAGCTATGTTTTAAAATCAATTATAGAAACATTGCTATGTTCTCAAAATATTGAGAACATTTTCTCTATCAAATT